AATCCATTGCCTACTGGAAGTCAAAAATGTATGTAGCACTGCCTGGTTTTTTTTAATAAATACTAAATAAAATTAATGTAAATAGTAATAGAAATAGTGAATACAAAGTCAACCTACAGTTGATCTACTCTATTTGGATTTTAAATAAACTAGTAATTTATATTCTGATTAAAAATATGTATATATGTTTCATATTGATTTTTACTGCAATATTACGTACACAGTAGTTTTATAAAACGAATCGAACGCTGATAAAAAAAATTATTTTTAACCTATAAAATCGAATTTCTCAAAATGGGCTCTTTAAAAGATTTAGCGTTTTTATACCTTTCATGAGCATGAAATGGTATTATAACTTTGGTCCGATGTTTGTAAGTACCAGAACAAAAAGAGATAGACCCATTAAAATGTATACTTTTATGATCAGAACGTCGAGCTGAGTTGATTTATCCATGCCCGTCTGTCCGTCTGTCTGTCTGTCCGTCTGTTTGTATGCAATCTAGTCTCTCAGTTTTCGAGATATCCAGATAAAATTTGGTAGGTGGGTGTATTTTTATAATGTATTAATCATTTGTCGGAACCGGAAGAATCGGAACATATAGCTCCCATACAACTGATTGTTCAGATATGAGATTTTTCGTTATAACTTCTCCATTTATGCAGCTACGAACATAAAATTTTGCAGCCCTTGCACCCATTATCAACAGAATGCTTACAGTGAAAATTACATAGATTGGGTCACTATAACCTATAGCTCCCATACAACTGATTGTTCAGATATAAAATTTTTCGTTATAACTCTTCCATTTATATAGCTGGGAACAGGAAATTCCGCACAGTTTTCAATAATTATCAACAGAAAACTTACAGTGAAAATTAAAAAGATCGGATAACTATAACCTATAGCTTCCATACAACTGATTGTTCAGATATGAGATTTTTCGTTATAATTCATCCATTTATGTAGCTAGGACCATGAAATGTTTCATGTTTTCACTCATTATCAGCAAAAGACTTACAGTGAAAATAACGAAGATCGGGTCACTATAACCTGCAGCACCCATACAACTGATTGTTCAGATATGAGGTCTTTTATCATATCTCCTCCATTTATGCAGCTAGGAACATGAAATTTCGCACCATTTTCACTCATTTTAACAAAATACTTACAGTGAAAATAGCAAGGATCGGGTGACTATAACATATATCTTCCATACATCTGATTGTTCAGATATGGGATTTTACTGTAAAACTCCTTTATTTGAACAGCTAAAACCGATAAATTTCGTAAGATATTTTATAAATAATAATACAAAGTCTACTGAGAAAATCGTCAAAATCTATGCTGTATAAGCTTTATCTCCTATAGCACTGATTGTTCAGATACCAGCTTTTGCCATATATCTCCTTTATGTAGGAAACTAAACCCAATAAATTGTGTTACCGGTTTACATACCGATCACATAGCAGTGAAAATCACTTAGATTGGTGCCATATAAAGTATATCTTCCATACCTCTGATTGTTTAGATGCGATTTTTTATGCGATTTTTTAAGTATGTAACTCCTCTATCGATGTATGCAGATGTATTCAAAATCAGTAATCTGTCAAACTAAAATTTGCAGATGTTCATGAAAGGTATGAAGCCTTCGGCATAGCCGAAAACAGCGCTGCTCTTACTTGTTTTTTTATAAATTATTCAGAAAATTACCCATATTCAAGTTATGAAAGAAATCTTACAGTAAAGCACTTTGATTAAAAGTCTATTAAGGCACACCGTGTTTTATTAGGTAGCAGAGACTGGCCAATGGAAGTGGCCTTACATATACTTAGACCCAATATTTTAGTAGCGTTACGACCTTTGTTAACAACCTTTGAACTGCTCCTGAAAAACCGGTAGCAATGTTGAAGAACTTTGCGGTCCCTTCGGCAAACTGCAACCACCAATTAATTAAGTGTGCCGTTAGTAGTTCTTCTAAAATCCTAGAGTCCTCTTCTTTGGCGGCATCAAACACTAGCTTCTTAAACCCTTCTACAGTGTTTCGAATTTACCCCTTCCTATAATGTTTTTGGTAATTTTGATTGAATAATATTCAATTTAAAAAAAATAAAACGATATTTCAATTGGAATTCAGTTAATATTTTATTTTTCATAAGCAAATACTTTATCGGCAAGTGATGTATCATTACCGGTTGAAAGTTTCCCTTAAATACTAAATTATAACTAGGATCAATCCAGACAGACCCATAAACATTGTGGGTGTATGGAGAAACTATGTCGCCTCTGGAAAATAAAATAAAATAAAAAAGCTCTAACAATTTGAATTCAGTTAATATTTTATTTTTCATAAGCAAATACTTTATCGGCAAGTGATGTAACATTACCGGTTGTAAGTTTCCCTTAAATACTAAATTATAACTTGAATCAATCCAGACAGACCCATAAACATTGTGGGTGTATGGAGAAACTATGTCGCCTCTGGAAAATAAAATAAAATAAAAAAGCTCTTTTATTTATTGCAAAACTATAGCTGATTATGCTTTTAAAGAGGAGAGAACGCCGCAGCTTATTTAAAATTACATAACTGTGTAATTAAAGAATTTTTAAATGTAAATTGGGTTATTTTGACCTAATAATTGTAGAAGTGTTGTTGAGAGAATGTCAGTTATTTATTCTCAAAAAACATCTGGTCCAAAAATGCACCATCTCAGTTTGGCGAAGGCTCGACTGCTGCAGAGTAGATGATTTGTACCAAGTATCCTCGTCCTCTAAGTATGATGTAGTGGATCGTCGTTTGTGACTCTATTTAAGTATGTCGCCCCATAGATTGTGTCCCGTAATTAGTCCTATTAGGGTTCGCGCCTTACTTCTTCCAAGTATCAGTATTGTACTAGCTGCTCCCATGAGATTCCTAATGTAAGTTACAATTTCCGATATGCTTTGCCCTATAGTTGACCAATTTTACACTCCAAAGAACCGCAGCTCGTTTTCCAAAAACACTTCAGTCTCAACATGCATTCTTGCATAATTCTTGATGAAGTAAATGGTTCCCCATGCCTTTACAGCAGCTTGGCCGTCACTTCAGACACTGATTTGAAGTGAACGTCATCATTCGCCTAATAACTAGTCTGGTACATACTTTAAATATCGCAAAATTTAACAACCGTTGACATGTTAGCTATAGCAGAAAAGCTCATCAATCTATTATTCAGATGCCATCCTGCTTTAGTTCCATTTTCGGCCTTGGAGACGTCGGTATAAAAAGTTTTTATCGAAATACCCAGGAATGTGTCTGGATCTTTCCATTGCTTTCTTTGTAGGAAAACTAACGACGCACTTTCTTTCAAAAAAGACTCGCGGTATCAATTTGTCATTCGGGCCCAAAACAAAAGAACAATTCTTTTGAAAACCTTCAAAACAACTCTCTATGTCCCAAACTCTGATCGCTGTGCCACAATCCAAAAAGAATGCATACGACCGATTTTATTCATTGCTGCCTGTTAAATCGCTAAATCATCAGTTATCAAAACTAACAACGAATTGAGAGGAGACTCTGATGTTCCAATTGAAACGCTCGTAATGTCTATTCCCTTTAACGAGGAAACTTCGGTTTTGACCGAGGTTCTACGCCACCTTAGTCCCCATAATGTGTGACAATGGTTCTGGCAAAAGCTTCTGCGTGACATGCAAAAAACTTTCAGCGCCAGATTTACTTTAAATTTGGCATAAATTTTTCAATGCCAATTTTATTTACCGCACAAACGAGATGGTTTTTTGGGACTGACAGCAACATCCTGTGATCAAAGTTATTGAGGATTCCTTGTGTACACCGCATTCCCTGAAAATGTTTCCTTATGCTAGTGAATTTTATTCATCCGCGAAGCTTTTATCTTGCGATTCCTTTGAACGGGAGTCCACTACCAGACACCGTAAGAAAACCGAGATGACAACATCACCGAGGTCATTTTTTCCCACATTCTGCCATGATAAAATGGTCGTATTTCTCCACACAATAATCATTCATGATAACATGTTTTGGATCCACCTTATGAATCTTTCGACCACTCACATACTGTCTTGGTGCAGATACCTACATATCGCACACGATCTTCAAAAGCGACACAATTTCGTAGCGCATGCAAGGGAGACCCTAGCTAAAGTTTTTTCAACAAAATATAACAAAAATTTGCTCCCCCGGCTCTAATGTGCGAAGGATGGTTTGAGGCTTATTTCTAGCACATAATTTTCCATTCCCTGTTTGGTAACCCAACTTTTCGTCAAAGCTTGGAAATATGGCCAGCTATCAAGCAGGCCCTAAAAGCACTTATTAAAGACTTTATAAGCATATCTCAGCCACACTCCAGCCTCTCCGGATACTCTCCATCCAAATGAACTCAATGTTTGAACAACTTGTAGACATTTTATTAACTTCTACGTCCTTGAGTGCTGGTATTCAACAAAGGAGCACAGTTTTAACCTTACCTAGCCTTCGGATAACCTCTTTACAATTTAAAATGATCCTTGAACAAGAAATATGGGAAAGCAAAGTACTTGACTGTCAATACTAAAGTTTATGCTATTGCCAAGTAGATTAAATTCTAGCATTCATTTTTATGCTAGGTAACCCTTATTACTTTTCTCACTGCTTCACTTTAAAGTTTTTATTATCTATTTCTTAAATTGAACTTCTCAAATTCGAAGGTTATAAAAGTACGAGTAAAAACATACATATACTAAGATTAAATTAAGCATTATATATCTTCTGGTGTTTTCCCCCGCACTAGTATTCGCTAGATTTGAATGTGAAACGAAAATTGTTTCCTCCGAACTCTTGTTCTTACTATTTTATTATGTGTTTGTAAGGAATAAAATTTTTTATTTTATTGCAATACTTTTAATTTCATCTTATATACTTACATACTTCTACTACATGAATAAAAGTTAAATCAAATTTATCCCACTGAGTTCTAAACACCTTTATTTTCATTTCCTCTTACAGATATCAGCTGCTGGTAACTTTGAATTAGAAATATTAGAAATTTCCAATACAAATAGTCACCTACTTACGGGCTATTGCTGTGGTGTTCCTTTAGAAATAAGAAGTACAAAAACAACGGGTAAGTGTATATTTTTTAGCTTAATTTGGCTTACTTTCTAACTCTTACTGCTTTGAATAAAAAACGAAAAAAAATAAAATTATAGGATGTCCGCCCTGTTCCACCGCCTTTCGTCTATGCCTCAAAGAGTACCAGAGTTCACCGCCCAGTTTATCAATGGGATGTTCGTTTGGCAACAAGACGACAGCGATATTAGGTGGATCCAGCTTTGTGCTGAGTGAGCCGGGGATGAGTGCGATTGTGTTACCATTCACATTTCGTTGGACGGTGAGTGAATTGCATGAACTTTATTTTGAGGAAATTAGGAACATTTGATTTGCCTTTATGCATATACATATGAATGTGTAACGAAGTTTTTATATGTGCTCAAAATCAAACAGGTTTGCAAGTACTATTTTTAGTAAAAATCTAGGCATACATATAAAAAATATTTTATGCCACCCTTTATAGGTTTTATCAAAGGTATATACCTGGTTTTTTTGTTGGTATGTGCTGACTCATTTGTGTGAAGATAAAAAAACAAGGTCTGATTTGATTGATTGATGATTAATGAGTTTAATAAGAGCACGGTGAAAAGAACTCATAAATAGTCAAATAGGGGCCGAAAATTTGTAAAAGGGCAGTTTTTTCGAAGGTGGTCCAGGCTTTTTTGAATACAATTCACCAGTTGTATAGTTGCTACGATTTTTAAAACAAGACCGGTCAAGGTTTTTTCTAACTTACGGAAACTTTCATTTCCAGGACTCAAACAAACTATGTCCAGACGTTGGTATTATATTCGTGGCAGTCAAGCTACAAGAAGATGTTGCCCCATCTCAACAAATTTTTTCGGAGCGTTAAATATGTCGATCTTTGGAAAAAAATATACTTACTTTTTCCACAAGGTGGCGCTGTATGCGTGGTATTTAAAAAATCTATTCCAACTTCACCTAGCCAGAAGAGAAATACATTTTATGACAGGCCCGTCGTCGTCGTTTAAAGTACAAAACCGATTATCACGATAATGCAGTGGTAATAAGTGGTTTTCAAGGTCAACCCAGATTTTACAGCAGAGTGTAAAAATATATACAACTCTTGATCAGCGGTTTGCAACTATGCTATTCTCTATGACGGTATGACTATCCAGTTAAAGAGAAAATTCTGTAGAACTAAGACCGATTAAATCTTTTGGGGCATACGGACGATTATCATTGAATATCCTTGAAATTTTACAATAATTATTTTCAAGAAAATTATATGTTAATCACTAATGCACTCGACCACATCCTAGATTTTCGTCCTTCTAACTTTATTCGCTTAAAAAAAAAAACAAAAATTATTGAAAGGACATTTTCAATACATATTCATGCTTGTGAACCAAAAAAATTTAATGGTTTTTAATTCAACAGAATTTTCTCTTTCATTTGGTACCCATACTGTTTTTCTACATTGGCATGGTTTTTTAAAAAAAAATTTTTAATTAATCATATCTTTGAAACTACAAAATCCTTATAAAAAAAAATATTGACGTCTGAGAGAAAAACTAAAAACGCAGTTTTACTACATTTGGCCCTTAGTTTTGTTAGTATACTGATTGCATCATGTGTTTCGATTTTTTATTTTTTTTTTGTCGCACGGTGTAATAAATAAAACTAACTTGCAGTTTTGTCAGGGAAACCCCGATAGACTATTACATCACAGTTCTTAGATGAAAAACAAATAAAATTTGGCAAATTTCGGCAAACAAGTATGCATATAATTTGTGAATTACTTACTCACCTTCTATTGTATAAATTTATCAAAGGCAAAATACAATATTCGTTTTATTAAAACACCTCCATTTAATCCACTGTTCTCCGTCAATCAAACTAGACTTTGGCAGTAAGTAATTTTGTCTGAGTTTTTCGGGTTGAAAAATTATATATGTATAAGTAATGAGATTGATTGAATGCTACGCATATTTTTACGGCACAGCGTGTAATTAATTTTTTATCTATCCGTTTTTTTTTTGATTTTTTTTTTTTTTGTTACTTCAGATTCACCATGAGTTCGGTAAAATACACAACTGATTACTTTTAAGCTTGTTAAATATTTAAGTTGGCAGATACTTTTAGTATAAAGGTTGTTTAAGTGATGTTGTATTCTTTTTTAAAGGCTAGTTGTAAGGTGGGAATAGTTGTAGAACTTTAATAGGATGATAAATACACTCTAAAAATTTAACTACAAGTATTTCTAGCGAGAAATTCATAGAGTATTAATAAATATGTATATTAGGGTGATTGGCTCGATCTTTCTTAACCGGATTCCACCGATTGTTTTATATCAAGAGGAGATTTTTTTAAATTTTGATGTTTGGAATATCGAACAACCCGCATTTTTTTATGGAACAAATCGATTTTTTTACTTCATACAAATTTTGACATCTAAGTATAAGTTTTGAGTTTTTCGAAGTTTTCAAGACTATTTACAGTTTAAGTGAAACCCCTGAATAGTTTAAATATTACATCCTGCGTTATTAGGTGGCGAACAATATATCATATTTGATTCCAATAATTTAATGCTTAAACGTTTAAGAATTCGGCTACGGCGGCAATAGCACTACTTAAATCCGAAAAGAAGTCAGAACAAAAATTCAAAAAATTATTAAAAATAAGTTAAAACAGCACCAAATGTGAATTTTTTGCTGATTTTTATTTCTTTTACGTTTGATATAAAAACAACTTTGAACTTAATTTTCTTCGCTCTTTTCTAAATAAAAGCTATCTTTACTGTCTTTTAGATTTTGTGTAATTTTTTGGTCGAGACTTCATACCAACATGAGCATTTTCACTGTATGAAGCTATGTAAAATAGAACTGGTAACCGGTGTTTTACAAATTGGAATTTTTCGAATAACTTGAAATCCGGTTTTGGAAAAGAGGCAAATAATCGTACAACCTAATGTACATCCATATATACATATATATGTATGTATGCTTAGACGAAAGGTCTGTAATATGTTTGGTCATCCTTTACAGACATAAAACTCATATTCACTTTGATACAAATTCTTGCAAACGTCAATAACTTTCCGCTTTTTTGTGTGAAGTCTAAAGAAGTAACAAAATTAAAACTTCTCAAAATGCGCTGAGTCACAATTTTGTAATTTGAATTAAATATTTTTTGAACCGAAACACTAAAAAAAATCAAATTAAAACCTATTAATTCGCCCATATTGCTCGTCCAACAATGTTGGCCCAACAAAGGAAACTTTGAACACAAAATAGCAATTATTTTCAAGCGTTAGAGCAGTGACTATAAAAAAAATTAAATACCGAACGAAAATGCAACATCAACATCTCAGGGTAAACAAAAACTAAGTAATTACATTTTCTACCGGTTGCCGTTAATACTCGTCTTCAACTCTACAAGGCTCTTTTACTTCTTTTTTGTTTGATTTTGTGTATGTTTTCATACGCACATTATAGGCTCGTCAGAATGGGTCCAAACCAAGGCATATCAAACGGGTAGTAACATTAGAGCAAAAACAACATTTGCGTGTATTTTGTTGTTGCTTCTGGTATCGAAAGTGTCAAAAACGGTTCTGAATTATTTCTTCTATATCAAAGCGTGCCATGTGAAATACAAACAATAAAAAATAAAAAAAATAAAATTGAAATTGAAATTGAAAAAAAATAAAAGTTGTTGCAACCTTCTTTTCTAGTAAATTTGTTTCCTTCTCGAAGCAGTGGTCCATCCTTTGCAAGGCAACGTTCCAATAGCTGCTATGCAATCACTTGTTTTGTATGGAAAAAGGTTTCACATGCAAATGGATTTTAACAATTTAGAATTTTTGTGAGAAAAATTTAAAATATTTGACGTTTTCGAGACCAAATAATTTGAAAATAAATGAATAAATGAATTAGACATTTCGGAGACTTCTTTGTGGAACGTTAAAGCCATGATAAAAATATAGTAAGGTAGAACCGCTGAGAGTCACTTTTAAAATTCTTGGCGTTTCCAAACAATTTAATTTTTAAATTTACTCACAAACTCACACACACATTTTCATTTTCAATCTCAAGCAACAACAATTTCGAACAATTTCAATTTTTTCAAGGCGAATTAATATAAGGTGATAGCAGGAGTACAAAAACAAAAATTTACATGTATTTTGTTTTTGCTTTGGCGGCATAAACTGTCAAAATCTGTAAGAGTGTGTGTAGAAATTCAAACAAAATTTTTCAATTTGATATCAGAAGCCGTGCGGCGAAACACATACACAAAATCAGCTGAGCTAGTAACACCACCTTATATAAATTCGCCTTGAACTTTTTATTTTCACTTTTATATGATTTTAAAATGTTGGCAAACTTCAAAAAAAAATCATGGCCGACAAATTGAGAGAACGGTTCTACCTTGCTATGTTTTTATCATGGTTAAAGGCCTGTATGCAGCTCTCAAGAAAAGCAAAAACTCCATATAAAATGACGTACAAGAAATGGCTAAGAAATTTTCTTGAGTCAAATTTCCTTAAGGCAGTACGCAGTTCTTAAGAGATTTACTACGCTTTCTACTACGGTCTTCTAAAGTTTTTTGTGAAAAAAAAACACAAGGCAACCCAGGTTTGCAACAGAAATATATGCCCGTTCCATTATTTCTTGAGGAAAGAGTGAGGCAACAGGCTGTGAGGTATCAAAAATGTCAAAACTCCTTGGACACACACGCGAAATAATGGCAATTTTTTCTTGACCGTTTTCTTGGGAGCTGCATACAGGGCTTAAAGCTTATCCGCTCAAGTAAAATTGGACAATCAGTAATTCCATTAACTATGTTGTAGATATATGACAAGGAAAGGACAGTTCTTCTCTTTTCCAAAGAGCTCAAATTTAGTATCCATAGAAGTACATTCATAGGACACATTTTTGCTTAAGTCCAAATTTTCTACCGAAGATCCCGTTACACACACTCTTTCTACGCATCTTTGGATATTTGGCTTCCAGCTCAGTTTGGTGCCTAATACAACGTCCAGGTACTTTGCCTTAGAAAATGATATAAAGGTTGTTCCATTTAGGGAAAGGAGTCTGAATTATTTTTTTTATTGATAACAGAATCAGTTCCAGTTCGACTTTTCGATGACCACGAGTGTAACCTGAACAATGCTCGCTCTTTGATTTCACAAATCGTTGAGGAAATGGACTAATTTTTATATCTTCCCCACAACTTCATGTAGAGCGGTTTAGCTTTGTCTACCCTTTCAAGACAGGGTACCATTAGCTCCTTTATTTTTTGCAGCATTATCGGTGTACT